CGTGTCTGTGTCTGTTTGTGTGTGTACACTAGCCCTCGTGTCTGTGTGTGTGTACACTAGCCCCCGTGTGTGTGTGTGTACACTAGCCCTCGTGTCTGTGTGTGTACACTAGCCCTCGTGTCTGTGTGTATGTGTGTGTGTGTGTGTGTTTACACAGCATCTCTGAGCACATCCTGTTATAACAACACCACAAAGCCCATACAATAATACCCATTTATCATTCACTGCCGCCTGGCGTCACACACACACACAGCTGTATGTGAGTTGTGGGATGTTAATTGCGACAGTCACAGTGCAGCAGCAGCAGCAGCATCTGTCATTAACAAAAAGTCAAGAGCCAATTGAACAGTTGACTCTTATTGGCCAAACGAGCGCGTCACTACAGAGAATAGAGGATGCATACATGCAGCGCCGCTGAACAAACACACACACACACCTCGCTCCTGTTCACACACACTTCACAGGATGAACACATTCAGTGACAATCATAAATGATCTTCACTGAATCACAAATGAACCAACCGATCAGCTGGCTGCTCCAGTGACGAAACTAACAGCTGATCTGAGCAAATACTAGAGCTGATGGCGTTTCACACACACACACACACACACACACACACACACACTCACTCGCGACGGTCCAGCTGTTTAACAGAGACATGTAAACCAGCACAACAGCACTAACAACCCACTAGTTAACACTATAATCCGGTCAGATGGCCTGACTGATGATCAATGGTCACATGGCACACGCAGGTAAACAAAATATTTCACCTTTTTCATATTTTGTTTTATTTTGATGTTTTTATTACTTGATTTTGATTTTAATTTTATTTCAAATAAAAATAAAAAAAATTTTTTATTTTGATTTGCTTTTTTTACATTTATTTGTTTGTTTTATTCTGATCTCACAGCAGCAGTAAACACACACACACACACACACACACTCTTGTGCTGTGCTCGAACACCAGCACTACATCACAGTGACACCAGAGCGAGAAACTCCTCCTGTCTCTCTCTCTGTGTTTCGCTCTCTTAATTACACAGTAAATCAGACAGACCTGCAGTGACTCTATTAAACACACACACACAGCTCTCTACCCGCTGCACACTGGACGAGCAAACACACACACACACACTCTGCTCTGACGGCTCGAGACCGACATCACGGAGTTCCTCCACTCATCAGTGTTCACTACATAGAGACCTTCTTTCACTTCCACATGAAGCAGGTGTAATGTTCTGTCGTATTACATCAATAATCACTCAGTCGCGCTGCTGCTCTGAACGTCAGTCGTGTGATCACCTGCACGGCCCTACGGCCCAATCACAGCTCCGATGACACTCAGAAGAACCGTGAGTGTGATGTTATGAATCACATCGAACCCTGACAGCACACACTGTTCACCAGAGCCTCATTAACCAGCAAATTCATCACGGGAGCATGATGGTTATACCATGGTACTGAATGTTTACCATATTCATTCATTATTGTGGAACCTGAAAGAATACCGTGTTATTACACTCGAACTATGACACTTTTTGTTAGCAATATGAATTACAAATGCTGCCGAACAACAACCCTGACCAGAGGAATCAACATATGCTAATTAGCCACAATGTATCATTTACATATATGCTAATTAGATCACTCAAAGAAGTGTTTACAAAAACTGCTTCAAGAATCTGAATCATTAAACAACCAAAAACAAGCTATAGGAGTTGACTACAGAATTCACTATGTAATGGACTATAGAATCAACTATAGAGTTCCCTACAGAAATCACTAGAATTCATATACTGTATAATTCACTACAAAGTTTACTTACAGAATTCACTACAAAAATCACTATGTAATTGACTAATCGACTATAGAGTTCACTACAGAGTTAACTAGAATTCAATATATAATTCACAGTAGAGTTTACTATAATATTTACTACAGAATTCACTATAGTTTACTACAGAGTTCATTACAGAATTAACTGTAATTGACTATAGAATCGACTATAGAGTTCACTATAGAAATCACTAGAATTCCATATATAAGTCATTACTATATTTTCAATAGAATTCACTAGTTTATTACAGAATTAACTAGAGTTCATTACAGAATTAACTACAGATGTTCACTAGTGAATTCACTACAGAATTCACTATAGATTTCACTTTATAATTCACTATAGAATGCTCTAGAAGCTCCCTGATAAAAACATGTACATGTGGGTGAAATTAATAAAATCTTATATCAAGAAATAATTGACTTTCATTAATTTAAATCACAGTAATGATACACGTCATGATATAGTCATTGTATCAGTAAAGCTGCTTTGAAGCGATCATGAAAAGTGCTGCATAAATAAACCTGACTTGCCTTGTTAATCAAATTTCTGACATGAAACAATATTGAAATGCATGACAGATGCTGGCGGCTGCTATTGGCTGAAGCGGCTGGACAGGCGTCCAATCAGAGCGGCTCAACTCCACGTGGCCGTGGACAGTGAGGTCGTCTGCTTATGACATGACTGTTTGTTTCCAGGTCAGACTCACACTCTGAGCTCGACAGGAGGAGAGAGAGACAGACAGAGAGACAGACAGCGCCGCGCTCCTCTGCTCATTTATCTTCCCTCTCGATTATGTAACAGGAGAATCTTATCAAATATTAATGTTGTGTGGAGAGAGAGAGACAGAAGAGAGAAAGCAGGCAGTTCGACGCTCTCGTTGTGGTTACAAAATCTCTTTCCCAGGTTACACTGCAAGACTCCAGTCTGTAAGATTACATCACAGCGTCGCCACACGGTTTGCATGAGATGTGAACATGTGCGGCTCATGATCCGCCTCGAAACGCAACGAAGAGGATGCTTAATGAAAGTCGCTTTGGATAAAAGCATCTGCTAAATGCAGAAATGTAACTGTAAGACCAGTAAGAGTTTCTGTATTGTAACATTAAACACATGTTTACTACAGTCAGCCTCAGTGCTTTATTTATGAGTTTGTAATTTTTGCATCAAAGCAATAATTCATGATGATTCAAATCAACAAATGATTCATGGAGAATTTTTAAATAAGTTTTTTTAATTACATATATATGTGTGTATGTGTGAGTGTGTGTGTGTGTATGTGTGTATGTGTGTGTGTGTGTGTGTATAAACAATTCAAGGAAAATTTTGATTGATGTTTTAAATAAAAAAAATCCATATTATATGTATATATACACACATATATAAATTATGATGATACAATAACGTCACAATGCAAAAAATTATGCTAGGTTTTCTTTTTTGTTCATTATTCCTGAGGTGAATATGATCCAGACGTGTGCTGGCAGGTTTCCTGAGATGCGGTTCTTCAGATGCATCATCATATCCAGCGCATGCCGTTACAGTGATCGGAGTGTGTTCATTATTACACCATAACACACACACACACACTGGACTCAGTCCCGTCTAACCTGCACTGCATTGAGCCGAAGGGGTGGAGGGGGGAATCAATGCCGTTTTCAACATGTAATGCTTGCTAATGATTTTCTGCTGGTTTACTGAAGGCGACAGTGAAGGCGCTTCTATCTATTCATCAGGGTGATTTGGGTGTTTTTGTGCTGCTGGAACAACAATCAACGGATCGATTGTGGGCAGAACTGATGCATGAGGTTCTAGACGGACCAAAGTCCACACAAACACGGCGATGCTGCAAACATCTGCACTGACGACACTCATGAATGCAAAGAAGCCACAGCAATACGACCTCACCTTGTTATTATTATTGATCACAAACAGTTATTCATATCAGCCCTGTACCATCATCACAACAATGACAGATTCCTAAACTCTGCATTTGATATATTTGGTTACACACATGACTGCTTAACACCTGTCACCTATAATCAATACAATTCGCATCCAATCATCTGTATTGTTCCTGTAGTTCTTCTAATGTCCTGTGTTTGCTGTATCATCTGTGATTCAGTGACTGTTAATGCAGCACATTCCCACACTGATCAATAACGCCTCTATTAATGCTTACTGTACTGAATCAATCAATCATTCGGTTCATTTGAATAATCTGCAGCATTTATGCAGCATAACATCACAGTAATCACAGAGCGTCTGCAGTGGAGCTCTACATTGACTTCATTAGGACTGCAGCTGACATACGCACTGCATTCGCCTTCATAAGCGCTCATAACGCGCGCTCGGTTTCCTCACACCCACGTTCAATAGCGCGAGCGCAGAGAACCGGACGGAAGCCGGTGACTCCCGCAGCATCAGCACCACTGCATCAGCACCGCATCTCTCACACACACACACACACACACACACACACACAGGCCAGCGCGGGTACTCACGGTCCGTAAGAACTGGATCTCATCTTCGGCTTCGCCGTCCGTCATGGTTCGGCGCGGGTTCGGAGCCTCTCACCGGACAGATGAAGCTCTCAGGCGGCGGCGGTGGCGGCTCTGATGCGGGTGTAACGGGTGTCTCCTGCCGCGTTCTCATTGGATGGCTGACATACTCAGAGGGCGGGGCTATGCAGATGAGCGTGCGGTGAGAGTGCGGCGGGCAGCGCGCCCTCTGCTGGATGACCGTTAAAACCGTTACAGCATCGAGCAGCGCCATCACGAGGACACCAGAGCAAACACGACTCTATCCGTGTAAAACATTTTAAAAAAGCATTTAAAAAAATGTTGAGGTAAACTAAAGTAAACGAATATGTTCATGAATATTAAACGAACCTGCAGATTCTCTGGTTTAAGCAGAATGACTCACAGTCGCGCTGTTCTACGGAACCAACAACAGCACGAGTATCAGTTTTCTTACAACAGAACAATAAAGAAGAACTTTATATCGAGTAACTTACATTTCAGACATAAGTTTTCCAGTTCCACAGCAGAGCAGAAGATCTACAAGACACCAAACCGCAACTAAGGACTGTGAGCCGTTAGAGCGGGAAAATTAGCGCGGGATTTAAAAAAAATAGGGTTCCTGAGTTAACGAAGCTAATAATAAATAAAATTAAGAAATTAGAAATAAAAAGTTAAAATAAAATGTAGTAAAAAAAAAAAAACGATCAAAATAATAAAAATATTTGTTAATTAATATTTATACCTGCATGTCAGTGTCACGTGACCAACTGACAGCCTCGAACATGTTAATGTTGATAAATTGAAACATTAACATAAAATCCCAAATTTACTTTAGCACGAACGTTTAATACCTAAATTAACATTTAATGCATGTATGAAATATAAACTGATACCAGTGTTACTGTTTTTGGCTAATAACCAATGTAATATTATCATTTTAATACTGTAAGTCCTACAGATTTTGTTTATAAGAAAAAAACAAGCCCCAGTATCTGTTCTACATGGACTCATTAGGCTGTAAGGGACAGTAGAAACGATGGATGTCATAGAAAAATGCAAAAATTAACTGCTTCCAAACTCTGTCCTATTAATAAAACACTAATACTGACTAATGTGTGCACTAATATACCATTTACAAATTCACCAATACAGAAAATCTGAATACATAAATTTAAATCTGGGGAGAAGTCATTCCATAATATGCATGTATACATTAGTATTTCTGACACACATTTCCATTTTATGAATCACAAGTGCCATTAAGATAACTATTTTACATTTGGAAAATGTGAGCATGAACTAAACCTGAGCTTCTTCAGCTTCAATCTGACCCAAATGACCAATGACCCTCATCTACTAACCTGAATAAATTAGATTTAGAATTCCATATTTTCACTGTGGTCTCAAACTTTTGAATGCACTTGTGTGTGTGTGTGTCTGAGGGGGTGTGAGTGTTTGTGTGAGTGAGTGAGTGTGTGTGAGTGAGTGAGTGAGTGAGTGAGTGAGTGAGTGTGTGTGTCTGAGGAGTGTTTGTGTGAGTGTGCGTGTTTGAGTGAGAGTGTGTGTTTGTGTGAGAGTGTGAGTGTTTGTGTGAGTGTGTGTGTGCGCGTGTCTGAGGGTGTGTGTGTGTGTGTGAAAGTGAGCAACACAAAGTGATTAATGACTATTTTAAACACATTCTCCTTAATGTGAATATATTTACACACTCATAATCACCAAACACAGAGTTTTGATTTAATGCCAGTTTATCTGAAAATATAGAAAGCACATCTTTCAATGTTCATCTTAACAGATGTCAAATTATCAATTTCACTCATTTTTTCCTCAGTTAAGTAAAATTAACAAACTGAAATAGATCCTAAAACCAAAATAAAACAGCAGGATTGTGCGTTACATTTAAAGCACCATACTGAATAAGTGGTCCTTATGATTTTCATGCCACCGTCTAATATTAATACTAAAACTGACCGTTTGCTCTTATGGACCTCATTTATGTCAATTTAAACCGTCAAACCTACAGGAAGACACACAGAGAGAGAGTTAAATGACAGACGTCACTGAATTTACTCTGTTGACCGTCTAGTGACTTCAGGAACTGAAACCTGATCAGTTTAAACGATGAAATCACAATCAAAGAGAAATGATTAAAGGATCTGCTGGAGTCTGTAAGTTCGGCTGGTCTTTTGTACTATTATTTTCTTCAAATATCATAAGAAATCAATTTATAAAACCCACAGGCCTAAAAATAAAATAAGTGCTTGTCACGGTTTTATTAAAAATAGAAATGTAATTAAAAGCAGCGCTCTAGATGGCACCTCTGTAGTGTAAAGATAAAAGTGTTTTTTGGACCCTTTGATATTAAAATCCCTAATCTGGTCCAAAACCATCAAAACAAAATGAGTTTTCTCTGCAGTGTCGTCCTGATCCGAGTGGTTTAGCATCAGTCGGTGTCATAGCCCAGGATCGGACCCAACCAGCGCTCCACCTCCGACACCTCCATCTGCCTCCTGTGAGCGTAATCCTCCACCTGATGACAAACACAGAGAGAGAGACGGAGCTCACACATCTGCATTATTCAGTCTTGCAATCACACAAATAACTGGCCACATCATTTCTGACCCTGGAGCACAAAACAATAAGCTATAAATAAATAAATAAGCTTTCCATTGATGTAAGGTTTGTTAGGAGAGGACAATATTTGGCTGAGATACAACTATTTGAAAATCTGGAATCTGAGGGTGCAAAAAAATCTAAAAATTGAGAAAATCATCTTTAAAGTTGTTCAAATGAAGTTCTTAATGCATATTACTAATCAAAAATTAAGTTTTGATATATTTACGGTAGGAAATGTACAAAATATCTTCATGGAACATGATCTTATCTTAATATCCTAATGATTTTTGGCATAAAAGAAAAATCTATAATTTTGACCCATACAATGTATTGTTGGCTATTGCTACAAATATACCCCAGCGATTGGTTTTGTGCTCCAGGGACACAGATGGAATTGGGTGAAAATTTGTCATCGTTCTGGGAAAACCACTTCCTTAATCTGATTGGTGAATGCTTCCTTTGAGGAAGAGAGGAGTCTGGATGGTCTGGTTAAACGTGAGGTTCATACCTGCTCTTTAGTGATTTTACCCACAGCGAAATAGCAGGATTTGGGGTTGGAGAAATACAGGCCGGATACGGAAGCAGCAGGAGTCATGGCCAGAGACTCCGTCAGACCGATACCTGCAGGAGAACATGAAGAGACGCGCCGAGATGCTTTATGATGGAGACACGCTCAGATCCCTTCATCACAGGGACAGAGACATCTAAGCAACCTCATCACTTAATCTAGAAATCAGTTTCTGGAAGGAAATGTAAGCGTTTAAAGGCTGCTCGATTCTAACATTCTCTGAATCGATTTGTTTCCTCTCACCGGTTTTCTCCTGTATGTCTGCGAGTTTCCACATGGTGCGTTTCTCGGTGTGGTCGGGCTGGCTGGGGTATCCTGCGGCCGGACGGATCCCTTCATACCGCAGCCGGTGCAGGTCAGACGCCAGCAGATCCTCCTCACAGCTGTAACCCCACAGATCCCTGCGCACACGAGCGTGCAGCTCCTCCGCGAACGCCTGCCGCAAACACACAACACACACTCAAACTCAACACCAGCACTGCAGATACATGCCTCACAGGTCAGTCAGACGGTCTCCTCCTGCGTGAAGACCGTTCACAGCAAGAACAATAACCAGCAAGTTTTAATAATCACTATGAGCATGGTGACTCATTATAATGTTTAGTGTGTGTTTGTGTGTGTGTGTGAGAGAGAGTGTGTGTGTGTGAGAGAGAGAGTAAGTGAGTGTGAGTGTGTGAGTGAGTGTGTGTGTCTGTGTGTGTGTGTGTGAGAGAGAGAGTCTCGTGTGTGGTGTGTGTATGTGAGAGAGAGTCTCGTGTGTGGTGGGTGTGTGTGAGAGAGGGTCTCGTGTGTGGTGTGTGTGAGAGAGAGAGTCTCGTGGGTGGTGTGTGTGTGAGAGAGAGAGAGTCTCGTGTGTGGAGTGTGTGCGAGAGAGAGAGTCTCGTGTGTGGAGTGTGTGCGAGAGAGAGAGTCTCGTGTGTGGAGTGTGTGCGAGAGAGAGAGTCTCGTGTGTGGAGTGTGTGCGAGAGAGAGAGTCTCGTGTGTGGAGTGTGTGCGAGAGAGAGAGTCTCGTGTGTGGAGTGTGTGCGAGAGAGAGAGTCTCGTGTGTGGAGTGTGTGCGAGAGAGAGAGTCTCGTGTGTGGAGTGTGTGCGAGAGAGAGAGTCTCGTGTGTGGAGTGTGTGCGAGAGAGAGAGTCTCGTGTGTGGAGTGTGTGCGAGAGAGAGAGTCTCGTGTGTGGAGTGTGTGCGAGAGAGAGAGTCTCGTGTGTGGAGTGTGTGCGAGAGAGAGAGTCTCGTGTGTGGAGTGTGTGCGAGAGAGAGAGTCTCGTGTGTGGAGTGTGTGCGAGAGAGAGAGTCTCGTGTGTGGAGTGTGTGCGAGAGAGAGAGTCTCGTGTGTGGAGTGTGTGCGAGAGAGAGAGTCTCGTGTGTGGAGTGTGTGCGAGAGAGAGAGTCTCGTGTGTGGAGTGTGTGCGAGAGAGAGAGTCTCGTGTGTGGAGTGTGTGCGAGAGAGAGAGTCTCGTGTGTGGAGTGTGTGCGAGAGAGAGAGTCTCGTGTGTGGAGTGTGTGCGAGAGAGAGAGTCTCGTGTGTGGAGTGTGTGCGAGAGAGAGAGTCTCGTGTGTGGAGTGTGTGCGAGAGAGAGAGTCTCGTGTGTGGAGTGTGTGCGAGAGAGAGAGTCTCGTGTGTGGAGTGTGTGCGAGAGAGAGAGTCTCGTGTGTGGAGTGTGTGCGAGAGAGAGAGTCTCGTGTGTGGAGTGTGTGCGAGAGAGAGAGTCTCGTGTGTGGAGTGTGTGCGAGAGAGAGAGTCTCGTGTGTGGAGTGTGTGCGAGAGAGAGAGTCTCGTGTGTGGAGTGTGTGCGAGAGAGAGAGTCTCGTGTGTGGAGTGTGTGCGAGAGAGAGAGTCTCGTGTGTGGAGTGTGTGCGAGAGAGAGAGTCTCGTGTGTGGAGTGTGTGCGAGAGAGAGAGTCTCGTGTGTGGAGTGTGTGCGAGAGAGAGAGTCTCGTGTGTGGAGTGTGTGCGAGAGAGAGAGTCTCGTGTGTGGAGTGTGTGCGAGAGAGAGAGTCTCGTGTGTGGAGTGTGTGCGAGAGAGAGAGTCTCGTGTGTGGAGTGTGTGCGAGAGAGAGAGTCTCGTGTGTGGAGTGTGTGCGAGAGAGAGAGTCTCGTGTGTGGAGTGTGTGCGAGAGAGAGAGTCTCGTGTGTGGAGTGTGTGCGAGAGAGAGAGTCTCGTGTGTGGAGTGTGTGCGAGAGAGAGAGTCTCGTGTGTGGAGTGTGTGCGAGAGAGAGAGTCTCGTGTGTGGAGTGTGTGCGAGAGAGAGAGTCTCGTGTGTGGAGTGTGTGCGAGAGAGAGAGTCTCGTGTGTGGAGTGTGTGCGAGAGAGAGAGTCTCGTGTGTGGAGTGTGTGCGAGAGAGAGAGTCTCGTGTGTGGAGTGTGTGCGAGAGAGAGAGTCTCGTGTGTGGAGTGTGTGCGAGAGAGAGAGTCTCGTGTGTGGAGTGTGTGCGAGAGAGAGAGTCTCGTGTGTGGAGTGTGTGCGAGAGAGAGAGTCTCGTGTGTGGAGTGTGTGCGAGAGAGAGAGTCTCGTGTGTGGAGTGTGTGCGAGAGAGAGAGTCTCGTGTGTGGAGTGTGTGCGAGAGAGAGAGTCTCGTGTGTGGAGTGTGTGCGAGAGAGAGAGTCTCGTGTGTGGAGTGTGTGCGAGAGAGAGAGTCTCGTGTGTGGAGTGTGTGCGAGAGAGAGAGTCTCGTGTGTGGAGTGTGTGCGAGAGAGAGAGTCTCGTGTGTGGAGTGTGTGCGAGAGAGAGAGTCTCGTGTGTGGAGTGTGTGCGAGAGAGAGAGTCTCGTGTGTGGAGTGTGTGCGAGAGAGAGAGTCTCGTGTGTGGAGTGTGTGCGAGAGAGAGAGTCTCGTGTGTGGAGTGTGTGCGAGAGAGAGAGTCTCGTGTGTGGAGTGTGTGCGAGAGAGAGAGTCTCGTGTGTGGAGTGTGTGCGAGAGAGAGAGTCTCGTGTGTGGAGTGTGTGCGAGAGAGAGAGTCTCGTGTGTGGAGTGTGTGCGAGAGAGAGAGTCTCGTGTGTGGAGTGTGTGCGAGAGAGAGAGTCTCGTGTGTGGAGTGTGTGCGAGAGAGAGAGTCTCGTGTGTGGAGTGTGTGCGAGAGAGAGAGTCTCGTGTGTGGAGTGTGTGCGAGAGAGAGAGTCTCGTGTGTGGAGTGTGTGCGAGAGAGAGAGTCTCGTGTGTGGAGTGTGTGCGAGAGAGAGAGTCTCGTGTGTGGAGTGTGTGCGAGAGAGAGAGTCTCGTGTGTGGAGTGTGTGCGAGAGAGAGAGTCTCGTGTGTGGA